CCCTTCTCAGTTTGCTGGAGCTCCGAAGGCCGCCTGTATCCTCCACAGATACGGAGGGCCATTCGCTTAATCCAGGGGAGAGGATCGTCCTTTCTTGCTCTCACGGTCTATTGTAAAAGGTTCCTCATCTCTAGCCCTCAGATGGGAGGCACCACTAGCTCAGATCCATCGCTGTCTAATGCAGAATTCAGTTTCTTTCCAGCCTTGGGTGTCTGGAAGCCTCTTAGACGCTGTGGCTGGCAGCCAAACACATACCATGCGAGGGTACACTGCCCTGAGATAGGGAGGTTCCATTTTTTTTGTAACCAACCATTACAATCCATGACAAGAAACAGGCCACTGTAAGCAAGAGTCCTTTACCTGTCTAACGACCTCTCAGGAAAGGTGAAGGAGCCCCGGACGATGCGGTCGATGTAATTCAGGGGGACCTTCTGGAGTTGCAGGCACTTCAGCATGATAAAGTCATATTTGCAGATCAGGAGGGCCGAGTCTGTGATCACCAAAACACGTTCCTTCTCGTTGTTCCAATGATCGATCGTGGAAATAGGTAAGAAGAGGGCTGTCAAACCAAAAGTTTAGGATGCGTTTGTCTTGTGGCTCAAACAGAGGCTTCCCACCTCCGCTTCCAGAAGCTCCATCCGACAGCACAGCCCAAAGGGAGCCGGAGCGCAAAAGATCTGGAGGGCCAAAGGTGGCAGAAGAACCACTGAGCTTAAAGGATCTTGGACAGCGGGGAGGGAAAATATGGCTCTCCATTCCAGGACTTGGAGATCTGCTACTAAATCAAAGGAGGAGGAAGGGGAGAGACCAGATTGCAATCCCCAGAACCTCTAGCCAGCACATACACCTCAGGGGATTTAACAGGGATAAATGCAAAGTTTTACAGACAGGTTTTTCACATTCAGGGTCTTTATTTTAGAAGAGGAAAGACAGAAAGAACTGGGCATGTTTAGCCTTGAGAAATGAAGCCAGAGGGGAGATAAGATCGCATTTTTCAAAGACTTGAAAGGCTGCCCTACAGAGAAAGGGCAGGATCTGTTCTCGATCATCCCTGAGTGCAGGACACACAACCATGGCTCCAGCTACAGGAAGCCAGATTTAGGTTGAAGGTCAGGAAAAACTTCTTAACTGTTAGAGCAGTACGAGAGTGGAATCAATGACTTCAGGAGGTGATGAGCATTTCAACGCTTGAGGTGTTCTAGAAAAACTGGACCACCCTCTGTCAGATCTGCTTTGATTTGGGTTCCTACCTGGAGTAGGCAATTAGACCGGATGGCCTTAGAGGCCCCTTCGAACTTTGTGATTCTGTGATCATCATCATCACCAAAACCACAACTTTTGCAAGCTCCATAGAATATTGAGTAGGGGGACCTGTGTTTACAGGCCTGTGTAGGTCACCTTGATCCCTTCATAGCCTTGAAGACATCATGGAAAACAGTCCTCCATTGCATGTACTCAGAGCTTGATGCTCTCAACATCAAGCTTTTAATTGAAATAATATTAGCTGTGGGTCTAATGGCAATTTTAATTGTATTTTAATTATTTTATCTTTTACTGTATTGAATTTTAATTATTGTAAGCCGCCCAGAGACCTCTGGGTAGTGTGGGCGGCATATAAATTGAATAGAACTAAAAGTGTGCAGTATCTGGGAAACCTTCAAGAAAGAGGTGAACGCAATGGAACTTGAGCATGAAAAAGTTATTCCTGGATCCGTGCAGATCGTGCTTGGATTTTGGAAGCTTTTATTTATTCATTTTTTGAAACAAGTGTTCATATTTTCAGCAAAACCAAGCAAACGTCTTGTGGTACCTGGAAGACTAGCAAATTTTATTTGGCATCAGCTTCCATGGCTTATAGCCCACGTTTTCAGAAGCACACCTCCTAACCGACAGATCCCGTTGGCCCTGCCTTGTTGTGGAAGAAAAGAGGGAGG